GAAGACGTGAATCACCGTCACCACCACCGACGGCCGCTCTGACAGCTGACACTACCCCGGGCTGGACAGTCGGCCAGGCCCTCCATCAGCCGCAGTCAGGGTACTTGTGCTCCCGCACACGCTGCCCACCCTGCAGAGCAGAGGCCACCCTGTGCTCACTGCTCTGTGAAAGCTCTTCACACGTCGACCCCTGGACTTGTAGACCGCCACCCCTTCTTTCTATGCTATCGTCTTTAGAGGGCGCACACGCTCAGAGAAGACAGAGGAAAGTGAGAACCCATCCCACACCACGACCCTTCCACTTCTCCCTGCTTTGGCACTCTGGGCATTTGGGGGACCTTGGGCATGCACCACACACAGCCGGCATGCTTCTCAGGACCTGGGTCTGGCCTTGCATAGCACAGCTGTTGGTGCAGGATCCAGCTGCCTGAACCACCAGGCCACGGAGCCTGCCCGAAACTCGCAGTGTGTGTACCCACAGTCTTAGACTTGCACCGTGCCGTGTGGTTTTTCTGTCTCCTAGCCTTGCTCACGAAGTCTCTTGCCAAAGAGGTTTATAGAAGGTCCTAAACTGTTCAATCTGTCAGTAATTTTTCTTAAGGCTGCTGGCCTGGCAATAAGAGTAGATTAGAAGCTTTTCAGTCTCAGTCCTCAGAGGCTTTCTTCCACTGTGTCCCCTGCCTGCAGGCAGTCTGCGAGGCTCTCAGGACATCCAGGCGTGGTGTGGGACACGACTGCCCCAGTGACATGAGCTCATTTCTACCTCACACAGCACAGGAGAGCCAGAGCCACACGAGAAACACAGCCTCGGCGCGACAGCTCCGAGGGCCATCAGCGCGACTCGCACCAGAAACACAGTCCGAACACCACCTTCTCGGAGCCCGTCTGCTAGCCCCCAGCGACGCCCAACTGCAACTCAAAGACCACTGCAGGCCTGGAAGCAGAGCCACAGGGGAGGGAAGGACTGAACCACGGGGAGGCCCCGGGTTCATCTCTGCCTCAGGCTTCTCCTCCGAGACTGGGCAGGGCAGCCCCACCCCACAAGGCTGGGAGACATGCAGGTCTACACGGCGCGGCCTGGGTCGGCCTCACTAGGCGTCGGCTGCCAGTTTAGGCAGTGGCCAGGGTCAGGCTGCCACGCTCCAAGCAGGACGTTCTGGTTTCCACATGATGTCCCTGGCAGGGGACGCTGGCCTGTTGTCACAGTCTCATGCAGGGTCACAATAGAGGCAATGTGCCCGAGACCTGGGCCCTCCTTCCAGCAGGGGCATGTGGGGGAGGAGCAGAGGCTGCTCTGGCTGCAGGTGCCAAGCTCACATGCTGCCTTCATTGGTGAACCCAAGAGAAGAAATGGGACCAGACTCAGAGCACCGAGCGAGCTCAGCCATGCTGCCTGACCTCAGAACCTGTCCCCAACAGAAGCACTCCGTGAAAACCAGCGAAGGTCTGCTCAAAGGCACCCTCACTTTTGACACGGGGCCCTTGCCTGACTTGAACTAGAAAGTGCTACACTCCCTCAGGCCCAGAGCCCACCACATGCCACAGCACGGGCTGATCACCTGAGAACCAAACAGAAGTTCCTCCAAAACCCACCTTTCCCAAGCTGCACCCCAGGACTGCCTGGGGGTGCCACCAATGGGGCAGGAGCTCCCCCACAGCACAGCTAGAGACACAGGGCTGGCCCCACAAGTCGAAGCCTACGCTGAGGCTGAGCGCGTCTCCCCAGCTAGTGGCTGACTAGGGTCCCAGGTCCAAATGCCTGGCCACCAGCCGTCACCCTGCTGCCTCCCCACGCCTCCCTCACTCCCTGCGCCAGGCACTAGTGCTCCCCGGGCAGCTCCTGAGCTGGGACGGCCCAGCCATCCCAACAGGGAACGGCACGATGGCGCTCCAGGAGCGATCAAACGCCCTGTCTGCTCTGGCAACGAGGACAGGAGGCCCTTCCTTCAGTGCCACCCCAACATCAAAGGAATGGAATTCAAAGCCATGCCAGCGCATTGAAACCTCACAATGAAGCTGGAAAATGGAAGTCGATTACTGGGCAGAAATACGCAGCAGTTAAAAGGAAAGGTTATAACGAAATTAAACTGCAGCCACCCCACAGCGTGTGGAAACTTCCAGCACCAGTGCACTCCTGGCACGCTGCAACAGGAGCACCCTCCTAACACAGGTCCCTGACCAGGGCAGTCGTGACTGGCGCCCCAGGCTGTGTGCCCACACGACGTCAGCCCCCAGACCTCCCAGAACGCGCACTCGGGAACTCCAGTTTCGCACGGCAGGAAGCTGCAGACGCCAGAACGTTCTCTGACTCAGGGCTGCTCGGGCCACATCTGTCCTTGGTCTGCAGACCTTCCAGGCCCGTGAGCAGCCCCCAGTCGGCTGCCCTCCACCCTCTCCCAGGGCGCCCCCAGGGGCACACTCCTGCCAGCTCCTCTAGCGGAGAAAGAACTACCCCACAGAGGGCAGTGTTACATCTGCTTGCCAGTGCAGCCCGCTCCCTACTGACGGCTTACTGCTCCTTTAGGAAAGTATTTGATCTTTAAAATAAAAGCCCAAAGCACAGAATGCTGCACAGTCTTACAACGCGGCGTCGGGGCATGTGTTTTCTAAGGCATGAAAATACTTCCCTCCCACACGAATGTGAGTTCTTCGGGGGAGAGATGCCACAGATCCTAGGGAGTAGAATATCTGGGAAGGCTCCATCAGTCTCAAAAATAGACAGCTGAACATAGAGTTTAGAATTCTCAGGAGCTACCTGAAAAAGAAAATTTAATCTCACATATTTTTGATATCCAAAACTCTATTCTGATGGAACTTCTAACTGGGTGGCATTTTGCATTTCCAATTATAATAGAGTAATTTGTGTTGCCATAGCGACTGCCAAATTCCGCAGTAACTTTTGTTGCTTTGTAACTGCCCTAGTATATATCCGTGTACAAGCGGCTGGGTTTCCATCCCGTCGCCCCCTCCAACCAGCACAACCACTTTCCCGGGCTGGATTCGGAAGCCACCATACCAGCTCTTCTTGGGTAGTCCTCAAAATAATGCATGAATTATCGGAAGCAATTAAAACTCCAGGCGACCAGGATCATGTTACAAAAGAAAAAGTGAAACCAGGTCAAGGTGCAACCCGCCTGTGTCCCCTCGGAGTCAGGGCCAGCAGCGCCAGGGCTGTTGACAGGGCCACTCCCAGGCCTTACACGCTTCTGGTCGGTGGGAACAAACAGCAAAGCCTGAGTAGAGAAAGCGGGAGACAGTGACTACACGGGCCCTCTCCTCCCTGCCAGAGCTCTGCTCCCAGCAAGCAATCAGGTAGGTCTCTACAGCAATGCAATTAGGATTCAGTTAAGAAAGTCATTAGTTTTAAAATAACTTAAGTTTAATTTCTGCAACGCTTTATTTGAAAACTGTGTCACAGCAGGTCAATTTACAACATGCAATAAAGAAAACACTCCTATCAGCTGCCGCAAGTTATTACAAATGTCTGATGTACACGAAATGAGTATAGTGCACCGGGTTCCACCCCCGGCCTTCCCAGCTGATACGCACGGTCTCCGGCTACCGCACTGTCCGTAATTCGGCGTTCAACGTAAATCCGCGAGCCTTCGCGGCCAAGCCTCCACGCCGCGGCGCCC